CGGGGTCATCGATTGTCTTATTCCCCTCTGAGTCCTGATCATCGGAAATCCGAGCGCCTGGTGGCACTTGGTCAGCGGTGGACAAGCTAATCAAAGGACAACTTTTAGTTCGTTTCCTGTTATTCCCTACCAGTCGCAGCGGTCAGACTTCTGTTGGAGCATCTTAACTTATCTGTTGTTGTGAAGCTGATCATGAACGAACAATTTTTCACAACGTTGTTGGAAAGTGCTCAATGTTATCTTGTTGGGGAAGCTTACTGATCTTGTAGTTATCGGGTTACGGCAAACAGCTTGCCGTAACGTGGTATTTGTCCAATAGCATTTTTGAAGCCCCCAGGGAAAGAATTTACCGTGTGTGTTAAACAGCCTGTCCTGTGATATCGCCTTCCTGTCGCCACCTGTTGGACACCTCAATGAGACAGTGTATCGATTTGGGATGGCATCAGTTTTTTCTCCCTCTGATGAACTCTGATTCTACATCCAGTAGTTCAGCACTCATTCAGTTTGGAGTTCAGTCAGTGGGTGCACCTCGTCAGTACTGCCAAACTGGACCATCTGTCAACCAAGAGTATGCTGAAGGGTTCACCACTACTCCCAGAGCTTTGATCGAAAATCGAAATGTTCGTGGAAGATCCCAAAGTGCAGTGGCCATTTCAACACAAGGAGACATAATAACTCTGAATTTCCCGGTTCACAGTGAAAGCAAGTTTCCACTGACCTGAATGGAGTGCCCATTGATTTGGGCAAGTTTTACTACATCCACAATACCCTCTGTTGAACGCGGAGCACAAGCCGCAAATTCATGTACAAATGTGACACCATACTACGGTTCTTGACAACCTAATCATAGAAACTGTGTCCACACGCTCGACATCATTGATGACGTTTATTGCATCGGCTTTCTCTAGGTCGGTTGAGACCGGTAGGTTTTTTGTGACCGAACGTTCTAGCTACTGGTCGGGAAGTCTAAGCTACCCGGAGTTCCGTCAGATATGGACTGCCGAAGATCCCTAATAAGGGTGAAACAGTTGTGCAGTGCTTCTCGGCGTTTCCTCATAGATTGGATTCACTCGTTGGACGAACTCTGTAACGGGAATTCTCACATCTCCTCAAAGCACCGACGAATAGTACGTCTTGTAATAAGCGTTAGAGTATATAAGGTGAAATAAGGACCCACAGGAGAGCACTCTGTGTCTTGTGGATTGTGGTTTCCCGGCGAACTTTATCTCGTCGGGTCGATAAACGTCAAGCAGTGCGTTTGAGATGCGTATCCATCTGACACAAGGTGCGCTTAGTTAGCCTTTCGAAAATGGGGCATAATCCAGGACTAGGACGCAACTCAACTGGTCCCGGATGACTCGTTTTGGTTTTGAACGTGACCGACAGATAACTGCGCCGAAGAATATCCATATTCCTGTTGTTTCATTCTCATCACAGGCAACAGTAGAAGCACAGCTCCGAAGCTGTTATTTCAAATCATGGGGGCTAAAACCCAACTTATCAAATTCGCATTTCCACGGGATTCAGCATCAGTTGAAGTAATGTTATTAAGAGTGTAACTGAGAGTGGTGTTATAGTTGCATGGAAGTCAGTTTAAGCCTACTCGTGTAAGGATACTGTGATGAACATGACTGGTACTCTATTCATTGCTCTATCCATTATTCACTTGTTTTAATATTCCATATGCTGTACATATACGCCAATTCGAATACATACGTGCTGCTTGTTACGCTGCGTTGAATTCTGAAATTCTAATTCGTCTGGTTATTCCGATATACGTGCGAAACTTAGTTCTCACATTTTGGCGTCGCGATTGGAACAAAAATGGAACCGTTAGATGTTAATTCAACTGCGTGAGACGTAGAGGATTATCTGGAACGGTTCGACATAAGGTGTCTCACAAAATCTGATATGGATGATAAGAAGCTCACGGCATATTTCCTACATTTCATTGACAAAGAGGCGTACACGTTGATCAAGAATTTAGTATATCCTGAAACTCCAATCGATATTTCCTACACTGCATTGAAGAAAAAAGTTCTTCAACACTTCAAACCGATGAACTTCGTAGCAGCCGAAAGAGCTAGGTTCAATATGTTGACCCACTCCCATTCTCAGTCGGTTCGTGATTTCCTGTTACAGCTGCAGACACAGGCAGCCAAATGTGACTGCGGTGCCCAATTGGAAGACCAGCTGCGTGATAGACTCATTGCTGGCATTCAGCTGCCCGAATTACAGCAGAAGCTGCTACTCTGCCCGGATCAGAAATTTCAAACTATTTGGAAAATATGTGAGCAGTATGAAGATGTGGAGCATGTAACGAAGACTGAGGATGCAGTCTTCTGATCTTCTGATCTTCAGATCTTCTGTCGTTTTGGACCGTCAGAATAACTTCCAGACACCCATGTGGTGATAATCTAACATGTGGGTCTGAATTCATTGTACCGACCTTGTCAAACTGGTTAGGAAATCTTGACCAGGGTTGTTCCGTGTGGTTTGATTGGCGTTGCTTGTTAACACCAAAACGTCGAGCAGCCTTATCACATTCTTTTGTGGAAATTCCTGATAATGTTAGAGACTTTGTTCGGGTTACCTCATTAGTCTTCATTGTCGTTGCTTTCCCTCAGAAGCAAGTAGTTGCGATAGACCACTAAGTGAGAAAAAGTGCCATAAGCCCACTGACAATTTTCGATGAATTTTCATAAATTTTCCGCTTGAGAGCATCAAACTCTCACTATACTTCTGAATGAAGCGATACGTGGTAAATATTGTTGTGGACACAGTCCCTTAATGGCTTCTTATTACCGTGAACCCCGGTCTGGATAGCCAATTGATAGCCTGGTGCGTCTGGCAAAACCAGAAAAATTTAATGAACGTGCGAACCGGCTGATCTATTGATCACTGTCGCGTACAAGTGGGTCAAAGAAAGTGGTGATAAGAATACATCTCATCTGTCAAGGACGAGTGAAGAACAACCAATGAAATCTGTCTCGACGAAAACGGTCATTCCATTCGCTATTATGTAGTCCCGTTACGTTCGGAGCTGGTTCTCCTAATATGAACATTCCGAAGCTCAACGCTTTTTGGACAGTAGCGAACAAACACTGCAAAGCGGTTCTAAAATTCTCGTACCTCTCTTCCATCGGATGCGGGGACACTCGGCCAGGGATACTCGTATGTTTTATCGATGGTATGTATCTGTGACAAGCAGCACGTATGTATTCGAATTGGCGTGTATTTACAGCATATGGAATATTAAAACAAGTGAATAATGAATAGAGCAATGAACAGAGGATCAGTCATGTTCATCACATCCGCCACACGTTGAACGAGCGTGTGGATGTTTATAGTCCACTAGTGGTCTTGACCGCAATCTTTCGGATCTTCTCGGAATGGAAACTTCAGACTCTTCACAGGTTGTGTGTTCTTCAGATACGTTTTGTTCAGATACCATAAGATCATCTACAAAGGACTCATTAGTATTAGCCAAAAACCACATTAATGTGTGCGATAACGCTTCAGTAACGAGCCAATGATTCCCATGGAAGACTCATAATTCACGCCTGTACTCAATCAGAGCACGAGTGTGTTTCGCTTTTCCCTTTCCTTATCCACACTTGAAAACAGATCAACCGGCAAGTAAAATGGATTCACAGACCCTCGAACAAAGTGAAATCTCAGTGGTCGCCATTCGGAAGAACAACGTGGAAATAAGACAGGAAGATTCTGAATAAAGCTCCGACGCTAAGTGGACAAGCTGGTTTCCCCCGTTTAATGTACTGTGGTCACAGCGAAATAGATAAGCGATGAGAGTCACTGGGTACAAACCTATAGATACAGTTATTTCAACGATTTTTGAATTATTGAAATGTGACCAAAATTGGGACGTGCATCCTCCGGTTTGCTCAACTTGTCTGTGGAAGTTAATTGAGCACTCGGAATAAAGTTATGCAGGCCCGTACGAAGACGCTATGCGGGTACGTTTTAAATCACTCAAGTCCCAAATTGATGTCACGAACGCATCCATGTTCTGATCGGAAGGGTCACGATAAACCTCGTTGTTATTAATCATGCGATAGGCATAGAGGATCGAAGATATTCACAAGGATTGTCACCAAAACGACTGTGCGTCACGTATCGAGGACAGTCGACGTGAAAATTCCTGTCATCATCAGTTCAAACCTGTGGGCTAGTGTTTGCCATAAAGTGAAAATTTTTACTTTGTTTGTGAAATTGTAACGACAAATTTGAGGCGAGCTTACTTCCACATTCGAGCAGAACAAACGAGCGTGAATGACCATAAGAATTCTTAGCAAACAGTTACGAATCACTGATATTTTTGGTGATTCAAGTTTTTGACGATGGTTCGGGAATGTATTTGTCTGTTTGCTAGATAGGTTGGCCAGTTCTGCCTGTTGATCTGAGTTGTTTATGTTGCATTTTAACTACCTTGGCGAAGTGTGTATAGCTGTTTTCAGGAGACCAACTGGGTCAGGTCAGAGAGTAGAAACACGAGGACCTTGCCTCCAACGCTCCAACCATGTGATCCGTGACGGAATTGAACGTGTAGGTTATCGTTCTTCCTACACTAAATTTTGTTCAAACGTGGCTCTTAATCTGATTACGTGATGCCTGTCTACACACTTGAGCGATTGGTGTTCGACAGTCGCTGACAGTGTGCAATGTTCTCATATGCAGTGCACAGTGTGGTCTCAGTAAGAAGCACCTGGCTGTCAAGGAAAGCGAGTCCGTTGGCCTGGTTTCACGGTACCCGGAACAGATGCTTGTGACACGCCCGTTGATAGGTTTTCAAGCATTGCCTGCCAGTTGTGTTTTGACGTAAATGTGTTAAGAACAAAACAGTGCGCCTGGGCCAAGTATCCGAGTTCAACCATTTAACCACATTCTGGATATATATCTTTGATCGATTTCCGAAAACCATCCGTGAATTATTTAGTATGATTTTCATATCATTCTCCGAGTAACTCAGATATTTCAGAATGCGAACTGCTGGTGTTTCCCTTTCGAAAATCCGACTAACTCGTCGTGCAAACGTTTCCAGCAATGTACAAATATTTGACATACGAAGTTCCACTGATTCATCCGGATTGGGGCATCCAAACGCCGATTTTTTGGCGCACGTTCAAATTTTGGGGAAACGCAATTACAATCATCCAAAGCGGGTAGCACTTTGCGACAAACACAGAGGATCAAAGTCATCCATATGGATTGTCACTATAACGACTTTGCGTCATCGATCGAGGACAATCGACGTGAAAATTCCTATCACCATTATCAGTTCAAATCTGCAGGCCAGTGTTTGCCATAGAATGACAAAACTTTGATTGGTTCAAATCTGCAGGCCAGTGTTTGCCATAGAATGACAAATTTCACTTTGATTGTGAACTTGGAAGGGCGAATTTGAGGCAAACTTTCCTCCACATTCGAGCAGAACAAACGAGTGTGAATGACATTACAAATTCTGAACAAATACAAATATTTGATATTTTTTGTGATCCAAGTTTTCGACAATGATTTCGGCATGTTTGAGTATTTGTCTGTTTGCTAGATAGGATGGCCAGTTCTGCTTGTTGATCTGAGTTTCTTGTGTCGCATTTTTGACTACCTTGGCAAAGTGTGTATAGCTGTTCTCGAGAGACCAACTGGGTGCGGTCAGACAGTAGAAACACAAAGACCTTGCTTCCAGCTCGAACTAAGTTATCCATGACGGAAATGAACGTATAAGCTATCGTCCTCTCTACACGGAATATGGTTCAAATGTGGCTCGCAATCTGACTACATGTGATACCTTTGTCCACACTTGAACGATCGGTGTTCGATAGCTGCTTACGGTGTGCAGTGTTCTCATATGCACTATACAGTGTGACCTTCCTAAGAAGCGCCAGACTTTGTCACGTTTGTTGGGAAAGGAAACGAGTCCTATGTGCTGAATTCACGGTACCCAGATCAAATGTTTGTGACAAGCCTGTTGACAGGTTTTCAAGCATTGCCTGCAAGTTGTGTTTAACGTAAATTAATTAGGAACAAAACAGTGCGCTTGAGTCTAGTATCCAAGTTCAACCGTTCGTTCACATTTTAGATGGAAGTTTTTCCATCGATTGGCGGAAATCCTCCGTGAACTATTTAGTATGATTTTCATAGCGATCTCCGATTAACTCAGATATTTCGGAAAGCAAACCACCAGTGTTTTTCTTCCAAAAACCAGACTCACTCCTCGTGTAACCGTTCTGAACAATCTACAGAAATTTGACATACGGAGTTCCACTGATCCATCCAGATTGACGTATCCAGACGCCGATTTTTTGGCTCACGTTCAAATTTTGGATAAATGCATTGGCTATCATCCAAAGTGGGCAGCTTTTTTGCCTTGACTGTGAGCAACAAGAAGAGTAAATGTTAGTAGTTCAACCCGATATCCGTGAAGCTGTTTGAAAGCAAATCCATTAAAGTACAACAAAAAAAGACTTGAATAGAATGTTTCACACCTGTTGTTCTCATATCTCTCAAGCTGAGGAAACGCAGAATATTTTCTTTTGTTGTTGAAGGTCCCCTGTGAAGTTTTTTTTGTGATTTCAATCAAAATTATATGCGGCCAAGGGTGAGACGGCAGTGCCGTCCAAAGTAATATCCACAAGGTCGCAAAAGGTTTTGTGGTCGTTTTAAGTGATGTGCATGCGACCAGTCTACTCGTGAAACTTTAGGAAGAGAACGACAAAGAAACGTATCCCCTCTCCCAAAGAGAGGTCAGCATAGACAATATCTCATTTCTCGCGAAATCGCCCCTTGTTATGGTAGTAGAGATTCGGTCTTTTATAGTATTGTTACGGCAAACTAACCCTCGCGTTGAGCTTACCCGATGCATGAATCGTGAAAGCGAAGAAAGCCACTGAAACCAATGTTGCCTCCTTCATCCTCAATTTTCACCAGAATTTCTTCGGTCTTAAGCTCGATGGTACTCGTAGGGCTCCGGATGTTCCAAATTATCGGTTAATTTCACAAGTGGTTCGATCTCTTCTATCTCGCAACCATTACCGTGTATCAAAAGAATACTACTTACGTACGCCATTACCGCATCTGTTTCCATCGCATGTCTCTACATATTTAACTGAAAATACCATTACATGTAACAAATAGTAATGAATCAGTGGACGGAAACTGTATTTGAGTAGTTAATAGCAAACGTGTGAATCTTGCAGGGGTGGAAATCTTGTGCCACGTTGACTCAAGTAAAAAGTAGACAAAGATACTCAGTTGAATATCCGTGTACGGTAAAGAGACCCGGCAGGTAACAGCTGGTAACAGCTCCTATGCGTGCAACCGAGTGCGTCCGTCCGCATAACTACCACCAGGTGGACCTGGACGAATAGCATCCACATGGGACGTAGGAAGTCTGGAAGTAAGGCAGCGGAAGTGCCGAAACTAAACATGCTCGGCACCTAGTATGTTTATATAAAAAATGGGAAAATATCATGTACAAAAGGAACAAAAAAGGACCCAAGTTAAATAGTTTGAATAAGATGATCTACCGAAATGTAACTTAGTTCTTGAGAAAAGAATTTGTTGTGCTTAGGAATGAATACCTTTCTGAAACACGTGAGAGAAGCCAAAAATGAATAACTGATGAGACGAATTAGAGAGTCTCTATTGTCCGGAAACCGAAAAAATTGAGTAAAATTCCTGAGACAACTCAAATTAACCTATGGGCCCAAATCCCATAAAAGGTGAACCGTTGAAAATCCTAAAAGGAATGAAAGAATTCGTACAGCATCATACCATCACATTTAAGCCCTGTTGAAACTGTCAGATGCTTGTCTAGACTGTAAACTCCACCTGCATTAACGTAGGGGAGAGTGTTTGGCCTGCTCACAGGCCCTGAAGCGTTAAGAGTCGTGTCCAGATTCTAAATAGAGAGTGATTACCAGATTACCAGAGTGATTACCATTGCCTTGACAATGGTAACTTTCAGGCTGAGAGGCTGATGTCTAGGGACGAAATGTTTCGAATATATATGTTGCAAAGTTCTGGAGATGCAAAATATTCTACAGGTATTTAAGGATGAAGATGGTAATTAGTCAATATAAGAAGAGAGTAAATCTGTGGTAAAAATGCGACCGTCACAGCATCAGCCTCTTATTCACACTTGGCAGGATTATGGATCGCATCCTGCTCAAGCAGTCATGAGGAAAACGTCCATCTTGAAAGAGAATTAGGGCATTTGAAGTAGACGAAGTCCGATTGGTGCCATACCAGTTCAGGACAACTGTTACGCCCGAATGCAGCGGATGCTTAATTGATTATTTGTGGAGTACAAATTATTCTTTCACTCAGTCACCAGAAAAGTACGACCGTAATGGTGTCGCCATACAAATTCTCAGTCCCACAGTTTATCAGCTATCTGCTCAAAGAAATCCTGGGACTGTAAATGTGCTATGCAGTTAACATCGCCGCTTGAGTCCACTGTTCATATGCCTGTTTGTGGAACTATGGCGGGTGATCATGACGTTTGATGCAGCACAACCTCATCACCACAGAGATGTTATCATTTTTAAAATGCCCGCCTTTTTATTGGTGCTTACCGGTGTTTTGAAATAAAACAATATTCCCAGCTAGTTTGCAAAACGCGGCTAGAAAAATACTCCCTAGGCCGGCACGCAGGCGGCCGATTCTGACCATTCACTCACAAAAGTAGTGCATCATGGGGACATTGCTCTTCTTCGATCAGACTATTTAGAGAACCAAACTGTTTTAAATGACCTCGCTAGTGCTGCTACACGCTCTAGTGTAGAAAGTGCAAAGTGCTACTGCAGGACTGGGTGGTATCGAACCCTCCAGTCATGCCCAGAGCTGAAGCAATGGAAGTGTTAGAAAAGTTAGACCATCTCGACAGCCACGTTAGACTAGAAAAGCCAACCAACCGGTAACAACTGGATGTGAAATGCGTGACCGGTATATGATTTTTGCGATCGGTCACACAGCTGATAAGCATCTGGAGGCCAAAATGTTTGATGCTAAGCTGAAAGGTCATGGGTGCGACAGCCCGAGGAGTTCCGTGATTCCCAAAGAGAATGAAGCCGCTACATTTGGTGCTTTCTGGCTTTATTTACAAGAAGCAATTTGATTGAAAGCTAACTTCAGCATTTGAATTCCGAACTTGCAGGACATTGAATTGCAAGACTTGTAAAATGGTACGTAGTTGGACGCTGTCTCTTGACAATCAGGGATAAGCCACTTGAGCTAAGCATTAACCGGTCTGACCTTCTCACTCGAAGCAGTTCCGGAAAACATGTGAGGCAAGAGGTTGTGGGATATTACTCGGAAATTACATCAGAATGCTCGAGCATCGACCCAATTATTGATAAGTTTTGGCGCAAAGTGCTTAAAGCATCGATACCCAACATAGTTTATTCATCTCAGTTGAATGGCTGCGCGAGTCGCCACACACAAGAGGTGGGATCTTACACAGTCAGGTATGCTGCTTCCTCCAATGGAAAATTTGCGGTTGAACCAGGCCTTAAAACGATCGAAGTGGTTCACATTCATCGCGACGAGTAGTCGTGTATAAGCCACTGCATAAGTTCCACTCCAAAATTTCGTACTCGTAGTCGCACATTCTGCGCTGTCTTGGCTTTAAAGCAAAGTGCCTAATGTAGCTGGTCTTGGGCTACAAACCAAGACCAGCTACATTAGGGCTTCATTTTGCTGCCCAAGGAATGCAAAATCCCCCCTGTGACTTCTGTTTTGCGCAGAAGGTATGGAGCATTCACAATCTTGCGGATTGATACACAGGATCGAGGCCTTCGTCTAGGTTTTCAGGGTGGGTTTTGCTCCTGTCGTTTAGTGGCTGTCGTTCACCTGAAAATCACAAACGAAAAGAGTGTGTGTAGCACTTCTCTTTAAGGTCTCAGCGCGCAGCAGTAAGCTTGCCAGCGGGAGGACTCGCATTAAAGAGCGTCTAATAGTGCCGTCTAGTGTACCGGATCAAGTTTCTATTTGGTCGACAGTTTTTCTTATCTCAGTCTCGGAATTTCTGAGGCGCTTTTATTTGTCTCACCTCGGATCAAAACCACAACGAATAACTAACTAGCTTTCACCTTTTTACTTTTTCCGTTACCTCATTTATCGTGAAATGTCTAGGCGTGACACTCTCGAGTAACCCCACCTGACCCAATAAAGGCAAGCTGTCTTTGCTCATTCTCTGCACTCATGCCCATTGGCCTACTAATGCCTATACATACGTTTATATAATCTACATGTAGCGAACTCTCATGGAGGATCTTGTTTAGGTTTGCAGTTGACAGCTCTGTGGAAGGTCCTTCATACCTTACACAATCAGTTCTACCGACTTTCTTCGGACCAGATATGAACCAGATACTCAATTCAGCCTCATCGACTTAGCATGATAGTTCCGATGAAAACTCTTTCTCTTCGGGGCTTCCTTTAGCCTTAACCGTATTGTCTTCCAGTTACATCGGCATGCTGGGTGGCACTGTTGTCATGAGTAACTCCATTTGTTTGAAGTCTTTGGTGAGAGGTGGTTTAATTCAGTATTGTGCAAGTAGACTTATTCTGGTATTCCCCTCTGATCATCATCATCATCATCATCATCATCATCATCATCATCATCATTACTGTCAGCTGTAATAACCGCGTACTTGTCGTACAGTGGTTGTAGCTGCTGCAGTTTCGTTCAGCGATGATTGCGGGGTGAATGTAGCTGCGCATTGCAGACGGGGGGTGATAAATCGGAATCAAGTGGTGTGCCTCAGAAGGAACGGCAGTCTTGGACTGTAGCTCTCCACCGGTGGCTGACGGCCACGTGGTCCAACTGGGTCCGCTTGATTTGTAGTCGGAGGCCGCCAGGTTACGCGGTGCGAACGTTTGTGTTCAAAGTTTATACTTGCCAGAAACAGTTCGTGATCAACGCACAACTGAAGGAATCGATCTCTTTTGTCTGTGCGGCAAGCATTCACTCCGAATCGACCACCCAAATGTGATTACGAGGAGCTCAGACGACCTACTTGAGCATTCTAATCGCCTGCAAGGATCACAATATCTGTGCTTTTGCCTGACGAATGAGCCCGGATGGCTCTCAATAGGAAGTATCCTTCTCCGCTTCAGAACTGCAGTCCGTTGGGGCATAAGCCGACACGAAAAACAGGCACTGCTTTTTATGCCGAGGGGCATTGAGCTTGATTGAAGTGGATAAACGGACGGCGCAGAGACGACTGTTCACTGGGATCCAATCCAGCAAAGCACGCTCAGCTCTGGGGCTGAGTGCAGCTCAAACGCCATATATTCCACGAGTCACCGCCTGTGGGTCACCGGACACACGGAGGGAGAAATGTGAAAGAGCTGAGTTCCTCCTTGGCGTCCTGAGATGCATAACCACGCTCGGGCCTTGTATGCGCGTTTCGGAGACACAGAATACATCAATTTCAAGGGAGTACAAGGTTTCAGAAAACCCGAGGATATAGGGTTTTCTTTGGGGACCCTTCCCGAAGCAGCGAACATTGCCTGTTTGCCAGTTTGACATGGAGTACAGGTGTTAAAAGCTCCTATATAGAAAGGATTTCGTGGATGTGGGAAGGTGTTATTTTGTTCAATGTTTGTAGGCAGTGAGGAGCTAAAGGCCCTCCGATCAGTCAAATGGCTCAGTGGCGTTCGCTTGTGCGATGGGAAGGGGTTGGGGGGACATCGGTGGACGCTGAAATGCGCCGGCAAATGATGCCTCCCGGTTATCGAGGCCGAGGAAGAGAGTTTGGTTCAGGTACCGCACCATGAGCTTTTGACTCAAAAGTCTGACGCACAAGGCAGTGGGAGGACGTAGGGTTTTGTTCGGGGACCCTGACCCTAGCCTCTGACCCAAAAGTCTGAGCCAGTAGGCAGTTGGAGACCCTTTCCGGAGCCGACGGCTCAACAGTCTGACCTGCTCGGCTGCAGGAGGTTGGCCTAACCCGAGGGCGCAGGGAAAAGGGCAATATTGCCTCATTTCTGATGCGGCTGCGCACAGCAGGTGCCTTTTGAGCAGCAGCGGGCTCGTTGGTTTTAAAAGTATTTCGACCGTATTGGATAATGCGCCGGCGGTCACGATCAACCGTTGGGCGATCGGAGTGTGCGGGTTTGGGGCCGAACTTTTCTAAGCTGTCCTTCCTCGGGGGAAGGCGGCATCGCCGCTTCCATAAATATGAACATGCTGGTCACCTGGAGAGAAAACATTACCGCCTTCACACTCCTGTCGCAGAGGACAGTACGACTTTTCTTCTGGACCGTCTCGTTGCACAATTACTCGTAGTACGTAGTCTCGATGCTCTTGGTCTGGCTGCTCCCGTTTGGCCTTCCTGGCATGGTTCCCAAGCCCGACCACCACGTCAAGGTGGCAGCTCTAGGTCGGGATTCCCCTCTGATACCACGGTGGAGTTGTTCATACGCTAAAGTGTTAGTTGAAGATGCAAAAAGCATTTCTTTTGTAGGCTATCTGAATTGACCAGGTTGACTTTTAAGGTCAGACACTCAGTGGAGATTCTGCTAGTTAAATCTGACCGGAAACGGTTTGTCGGTGAAACTTCATTGTGTTGTGGACCACGGTTTTCCTTCTTAAATCCGTAAGCCCAAGCCTGGCGAGCCGCCTGATGGTTTGATGAACAAGATAGCCTTCAACATGAGATTTTGTGTAGAACAGTACAATATAAGATATGCTCGTTAACTTTTCCGTAAAAACTGCAGGTACATGAGTGATTTTGCATTCGTTCCGCAGTAAACCGCATCAACCTAAATCATACAGACAGGAGATGACCGAACCGAGGTGCATTCAACCAATGCTTACACGCCAAAGCATTATGGGGTATGCGGCTACGGGTGCAAAAGTTTGTACTGGACTGTAAACAGCAAACGCGAACCACAATGACTTTGTTACGACATGGTTTAACAGCAAATTTTCCCTGAGGGAAGCGACACACTTCTGACTGTGTAGCATCCCACTTGGTAGGTACGACAAATAGTGCAGCTTATTAATTAAAGTAGGGAGGAACTACCGGGGATCGACGCTACCGAGGCCGATGGGCATTCAGGTTAATGCCCGAACCAGACGGAGAATACGCAGCTTGGTTCCCTCAGATGTGTCATATATGTAAATTCAGGACATCACCAACCTCACATGCAAACTTTGAGTTGAACACTAAACGGTACGTCTGCGACCTGTTAGTCAGCTGGGTGACCGAGTAAGAACTGGGCGGAATGTCGCACTATTCAACTATTGGTCACGCAATTCACAACAGGTGCTCACCTGCTGGTTTGCGCTTCGGAACTCATGTGGCTGACCAGATAGACCAACTTGTCCACCACTTGTGGACTCGAGGCTGGGGTTGGATGTCGCTCAGTCTTGCAGGAGTCCTTCGCACTCTCTGACCGTGTCGAACTGTGAAGCAGTATCCGTGAAAGTATGTTGCATTTCTAAGGGATCCGACCCCAAAATTGCGATATCATCAAGATGCACCACGTTTATGAGTGAACGCTCAGGAATTACTGCCTCTCCAGCATTCCGTCTTACTCTCACAACCATGCAGTATAAGGATGTTCCCAAAACTCACTTCCTGCTACGTACCGTCTCGGCGTGTTCAATTCACGCTGCGTGTGTGATCCACAAGTAATCCATGGAGCCGTCGTCGCTGTGAATCACATTTATCCTGAACTGGTATGGCAACATTCGTACTGTTTCTAATTCAAATGTCACAGTGCTCTTCGGATAGGAACGTTTCCATCCTCATTGTTTGCGCACGATGCGAGCCACAAGCTTGCCGGCTGTGCACAGATGGATGATGGTTTTGTGACAGTTGCATTTCCACGACAGACGTGCCTTCTTTTTATATCGTTTCATACTTAAAACCTCTTGCATCCATAGAGCTATGCTGTGTTGAAAAAGAATGCTGCTACTCTGACAGGAATCCTTCAGGCCCTTAAAACTTTTCGTGGGTTTCCTACCTTGTGTAAGCTAAGGACGCACAGATTTATTTTAGCCCCGTGAAGAATTCGCCAATATCGCAAATATAACACACCTGTAATCTGAAGGCTTGGTCCTATTATTATTTAGCCTTGCAACTCCGCTTATGACTCTGCACAAAACTGAAAATCCCAGGTGGACCACCGCCAAGGGTGGTGGCGGGAGCGCTCAATAGCACATGTAGGCAAATACTTACAGACCAGCACGAATGAACACCATTGTGTCCCATATATGGAATGTGAGGGAAACCAAGGACAGACAGGTAGTGCATGGGGCATGACGAAATGAAAACACACGAATACAACTGGGATCGTCGCCTGTGTGGAGGGTTATACAAATAGCACGGCCAACCTGTGATCGCAAATTATTTGATCAACGGCTACCTGAGGCTTATCGGGCGGTGATATTGAAAGAGAAATGATTCAAGTATCCAAAACGGGGACAACATTGTTTTCTCCTTTTCTAATGTTTCTCGTAAAATATGGTAACCCATGAAATAAACCAAGAATTTGAGACAAGTTGCTAGAGTCATGCGTGGTTTATTTGTATGTGAAATAGAATGTGATTCAGGCTCGTTGGCAGCAGAAACTTTCATCCAATCAACTAAGAGCAACGGTGCGTGCAGCTGATTGGATGACGTACGTTCAAGTAAGTACAAAGTGAGTCATTGGTCAATTCTCATGGGCGCCACTGAGATCGGTTCTCACCTGGAGCACCACTAGTATCCTTGAGCATAAAACCGAAGAACTGGTGGTTATACACCAGGGAAAATTGAGGACCTGTCGAATGAAGGAGACAACACTGGTTTCAGTGGCTTTGTTTGCTCTGACTATCCACGCATTCCAGTAAGTTCAATATGAGGATCAGTTTGCCGTAACAATATTACAACAGACTGGACCTCTACTACCGTAACAAGGGACGACTTCGAGAGAAACGAGATATTGTCTTCGCCGATCTCTCTATGAGAGACGGGGTACGTCTCTGCGTTGTTCCCTCACTAAAGTTTGAAGAGTGAATTAATCGCACATATATCACTTGGCACACCGGCACAAAACTTTTGCGTCGTTGTGGATACAACTTTGGATGTCACTGTGGTCCTATCCACAACCGCGAATCATGCTGACTGGGAGCAGAAAAGAAAATATGATAGAATGAGCTCAACAACAGATGAAACGGCTGCGCATTCTATTCATTTCAGAAATGTGAGGGGATTAGGTTTAAAAGATTTCTTTCAGGTCTGTTTTGTTGAATTTTAATGGATTTGCTTTTATATAGCTTGACGGATATCCAGTGGGCCCACTAGTATTTTCTCTGCTTACTATCCACAGTCCAAACGTGAGGCTGCCGGCTATAGGTGATGGCTATCTGGGTTTGGGGCACCCAGATGTTGAAAGGACTGTAACTGATTTTAACATTCTCAATGTTATGTCAGCAAATCAGATGATAGACTACAAGAGATTCACTCTATTTTGTGTATGGTAAGTGACCTAACTCGTACCACCAGTTTAGTGAAAAAGATTGGTAGCAGAGTATCTTATTCGTTATGCAATAACCCCGACGATTTGTATTGTTTTTGAGTGCTGGTCATCGGAACGAACTGGAACCTGACGCTCGTATTGTGTTTGGGTCACATAATACAATCAACCCAGGAGAGTTCCAGATGGTGTCCGCAGATGTTAGTCGCGCTTCATGGAAGATCCAAGTGTTGAGGTAAGTAATGTATCAGGATGTGATTGCCCGACTAATACAGTGAAACACAACGCGTAAGCATTAATTACAGACTTTTTTCTCAATCACAGCCTCGGTACACCTGGACGGCGGATTTCTTCGAGATTGTCTATCACGACGCTGGACAGCACCACCTGGTTAAGCAAAGCAAGTGTGGATCGTGCAAGACGAATTAACACCGCACTAGGAGCAACGGAATCGGGAAATTTGTACGTCGTCAACTGTAACCAGGTGGGACAGCTGCCATCTCTTGTTATCACTTTACAAGGGGTGGACCTGAATCTTGCCCCCGAACAATATATTCAAAGAGTGAGTGAGGACTTTTGGATGTGGTATCGCGTGCGTAATTATGGAGCAAGTAGACTGATCCAATACAAATTTTTGTGGCTTCAATGTGGCCAGTTGGATTAGGAATGGTCTGATGTGTATGCGTAAAATTCGATTCATATTTTCTGCAATATATGCTAATAATGAAAGGAAGAAAGCCCTTTGCCTTGTTCATTAACGAACAAGCTTCAGACGAGCGTTAACGCGAGCTCACAGCTGATTTAATGTACGAAACGGTCAGGCTGACTGATAATTTATTGGCCCCTTCTGAGCTTGACTCAAACCTGCTAGGTTATGTTTTGCCAGGTGGAAGTAGATGGATTACCGTAAATCACATAAAACTATACAAACATTTCATGAACATTTTAATTTCCCCATTAGGAGGAGGTGCAGGGACAGCAACGCTGTTTCAGCTCAATCGTTCCAGATCCAGCGATAAGGACTGAGCGCATGACACTGGGAATGTCTTTCATGCAGCACTTCATAACTATGTTTGATCAACAAGAGAAACAAGTGGGATTCAAACCGAGAGTCTGCTGAATACATCCGAATAATACCGACATTCGCACAATTTTGCACACAAATACAAATCTCTCTTTGCATATGATCTTATGATTTTGTTGATATGAGGAGACACGCAACTTAGGGATGAAAGCGGAAACATAAATTCGCGTGTAGTAAACGGGGTGGTGTAACGTTCGGCCACTCTTCGCTGGACTTCGGATTGCGCGTGGTTGGCTGTCCGTTCATTCATAGCGAAGGAGGTGCATAGTGGACTGGAAGGACACGTGAATTTCAAGTGCCAGCCCCATGCATATTAAATTTCCTGCACTCATGATCGTGCGCAGGCAATCGTCAAAACGCACAAGATCAATTCTCACTCAACCGCAGATTATTATTCCTAAAGCCTTCATTAGATATGCGATTAAGCCCTGGTCGGGATTTTATTACGATACCATCAATGCACTACGTTGGTTTTACGAAGACTTTTGCTCCCGTTGGTGGCGGCTTATGTGTTGCAGATTCGATCTCCTTCAAACAACAGAATGACAATTTGTTCACTGGCCACCGAAAGGCAAAATTATTGATTATGAGGTAAAATTCGTTAAATTTATTGAGAGGAAAGGTTTGTCACAGAATCGTCGGTTGCTAGTAACTCTATAGGTCTTGATTATGTGGGTGCAGCAAACGCTTTCCACAAAATGCCTTGTGAGCCAGCTGTACCTATGACTAAAGCAACGAAAGATTCTGCGCTGATTGCATACTTGATATCGCGGTCAATCTGGGCCATAGTTTGCCCGATGTTTTCGAAAATGCGATCCACCCCAGTGTACTAGTTAACCACGACGATGACAGTCACTTCAAAACAACTTTCCAGAATTGAGGAGTTCTACCTCTTCTTTTTGGGATCTTTGTGGGTTTTTGGCAGTCCTCTGGTCAGACTAGAACAGGGGTATTTTCATTTGATTTGAGGTTCAGACTTCTATCAATGAAAGTCGATAACCTGCCAGTCCAACTTAAAACTGGCGACGGAGAAGAAGGTAACATGTCACCAATAGGACTTGGTACATCAGATTTAGCCGGACCGAATAGGAATCAAATGCAAATCCAGATAGCTTTGGTTTGGTCCATTGGAATTAGAAGCCATTTTCAACGCAAGTTAAGTGAGCTGGGAAATGCGGTGGGATCAGGTATTCAGTGCCACGCTCAGTGCATGAGTAGAAGCGATGGACACTGCAGAATGCATTTATCCCTGGTACTTTGCTTGTGAACTTTTAAGGGCGAATTTGAGGCAAACTTTCTTCCACATTCGAGCAGAACAAACGAGTGCGAATGACCATAAAAATTCTGAACAAACAGTTACGAAACATTGATACTTTTTTTGATCCAAATTTTCGACAATGATTTCGGCATGTTTGAGTATTTGTCTGTTTGCTAGATAGGATGGCCAGTTCTGCTTGTTAATCTGAGTTTCTTGTGTCGCATTTTTGACTACCTTGGCAAAGTGTGTATAGCTGTTCTCGAGAGACCAACTGGGTGCGGTCAGACAGTAGAAACACAAAGACCTTGCTTCCAGCTCGAACTAAGTTATCCATGACGGAAATGAACGTATAAGCTATCGTCCTCTCTACACGGCATATGGCTCAAATGTGGCTCGCAATCTGACTACATGTGATACCTTTGTCCACACTTGAACGATCGGTGTTCGATAGCCGCTTACAGTGTGCAGTGTTCTCATATGCGCTATACAGTGTGACCTCCCTAAGAAGCGCCAGACTTTGTCACGTTTGTTGGGAAAGGAAACGAGTCCTATGTGCTGAATTCACGGTACTCAGATCAGATGCATGTGTCACGGCCGTTGACAGGTTTTCAAGCATTGCCTGTGTAGTAGCTGCTTTGGTGTTTCGGAGAGTTTGCGCGTGTGTGTGTCCGTTCGTCGTTCCACCATCGATCTGGCGTGTGGCTTGAGTGGCTGATTGGGTGCGTGTCCGATTGATTGGCTCGCGTGTGCGCTGTGGGTTGACTGGATATGTACTCAGTTGTTTGCTTACCCGCCAGGAAAGCGGACCAGTTGGCTACGTGTACACAATACACCCGTGTCCATACTTACGTGTTCTTCTGACTCACTGTGATCCACAATACTGGCGATGGTCTGACGAATCCATCTTACCAAATGTCTATCGGAAAGCTAGAAGAATTCAGTGCTACTGGAGGCTCTTGGAACCAATATTTGGAACGGGTGAATTGTTACTTTCTTGCAAAGGAGATCACCGATGACAAGCGGAAAGTGAACATACTTCTTACGACTTGTGGCTCGGCAACATACAGTTTGATACGCAGCTTGGTCTCTCCGGATTTACCAAATACGAAAACTTTTGACGATTTTGTGTCTATCGTTTCCAAGCATTACAATCCTAAACCTTCTGTTATCGCCCAGCGATTCAAGTTCAATACAAGAGTACAAAAGGAAGGAGAATCCACTGCGGATTTTGTAGCGGAATTACGGAGCACTGTGACTACGGAGATTTTCGAAACGATATGCTCAGAGATCGCTTAGTATTTGGTGTGAGAAACGTTCCCATACAACAGTGTTTACTTGCTGATAGTAACTTAACTTTGGAAACGGCCTACGATACTGCGGTGGCATTGGAAGCAGCAGAAAATAATGCAACCTTGTTACAATCTGTGCAACCTACCGTGACATCAGAGTCGGTGGATTCATCGTCTCAGGTGAATCGATTACAGCAAATGTCGAACAGAACACAGTTTAAGTGTTATCGTTGTGGAGGCCGTCACACATCCGAAGGATTGCTGGCACACAAACTGTTTGCAATCGCTGCAAGAAACGTGACCACCTCGCGAAAGTGTGCCGCTCAGCACCAGCATTCGAAACTAACGCTGCTGGTACGAATCAAGTTACAAGGTCAGAAATCCCGGAATACGTCCTTCAGGCAACTGCTCCAACCAACCGCGTTCGATCGCCGTATCAAGTAGAACTACAAGTGAACAGTGCGCCAATCGTTTTTGAGCTGGATACGGGTGGTGCCGTAACACTATGCAGTGAAAAATCATGGCAAGACAACCTGGGACCGACCGTGAAACGTAAACTTCAGCAAGCCCCAGTCCGGCTTCGAACATATACAGGAGAGGAGGTGAAGTTGCTGGGGGGAAAAATGTGAATGTTTCATATAAGGGTGTGACGGTGAACGAAACCATATATATTGCTGAAGGAAGTGGTCCAAACCTGTTAGGACGTGTCTGGCTTCATCAGCTACCTATACTTACGTTAAACCAGGTCTCGACACTCCCTGAGGTTCAATCTTTTATCCGCAATCATGAGAAAGTATTTTCAGCGCCGAAGACTGGGAAGTTCTCCGGGGGAAAGGTGAATATATACGTTTGGATTTGCTGCGGCCGGATTTGGCGCTTAAGGTCAAACAACAGCAGTGTTCCATGAAGCAAAACGCAGATAAACACGCCCGACCTCGCACATTCCGAGATGGCGAGGAGGTGTACGTCAAAATTCAGCCTTCAGCTAATGAATGGGTGCGAATGGATGTGTGAAGTCGACAAACCGTGACCTTATTGACATGTTGTTAGAAGACGGGAGGATAATACGCCGTCATTTAGACCATATCAGAACTAGAAATCATGAACCAGATGCGGAACAAACACTGGAGTCGACAGTGAAGGTGGAACACGGACTGAAGCAAGAGAGTTTCGAAACAACCACAGATGCGTCAAGGTGACTGCGCCGGTCGGCTGCGGAGTCAAGGCAGGTCGAACGTGGATCATGGATCAAGTTTTACGGGGATTAGACTTCGTCTACGCGTATATCGACGATGTACTTATCGCCAGTCGGTCCGAAGACGAGCATGTGCTTCACTTAAAGCAAGTTTTTGAAAGATTTCAGCAATATGGTATAATCATCAATAGTAGTAAATGCCAATTTGGTGTTTCGTCACTAGAAATTCTAGGACATATTGTTGACTCGCACGGCATCCGTACTCTGCCATCTAAAGTTTCCGCCATTTGCGACTTTCCAGCTCCCAACAGCATTAAGAAGTTGAGACGTTTCCTTGGTCTTATCAATTACTACCGTCGCTTTATCCCTAACTGTGCCGAGGTTGTCCAACCGCTCACCGACCTACTCAGACTGAAAACGCGCAATTTCACCCTTACAGCGGAGGCCATTGCGTCATTTGAAACGGTTAAGGAAGTGTTAAATCAGGCAACCAATTTGGCACATATAAATCCTGATTCGTCTACACCTCTTTTCCTGGTTACTGATGCCTCAAAAACTGCAGTTGGTGCGGTTCTACAACAGGAGGTCAACGGTGAAATATAGCCTTTATCATTCTTCTCGCATCGCTTACAACCTGCACAGACTCGATATAGCACTTTTGGCCGTGAACTTCTCGCAATCTACTTAGCTGTTCGGCACTTCCGACATATTTTGGAAAGCCGACACTTCGTGATTCTCACAGATCATAAGCCGCTCACTTTTGCACTCAACGCGAC